TTTACCGAAATACTGTTTGTCAAACCCTAATATCTATAAATTTGATCAACTGTTTAATTCATCAAATATTGTAATATTAGAAAAACTATGTAAACTTATCAAAGTTATAAATGTGAAAGTCAGTCCTCCAAGTTAATTTTATTGTATTGTTCGCACATGCATGCAAAAATTGTACTTTATAGTTATATTCATGTATGTTCTCTATAACTATGTAATTGTAGTTTTATGAGAAATAAAGTATTCGTATTCGGTAAAATTACCTTTTGTTTCATCGATTTCTTATCGCAAAGTTAAATTACATATATGACACCATAAATTTGATGAATGTGTCAGCGAGTGTTTTTAGCTTGGGTCGGCATTTTCGATCTCCAAGAAGAGTGTATAAATGAAGACTTCCATGACTTTAGAATAGAATTTAAGTCATCAAAATACAACTATGCCTTCACAGAAACGCCGTCCATCTCAACTTGTGAACAACAAGCAAACGTTAAACGTGTTAGAAATTAATTTTGGAGTTACTTCCCCTGTTTTAGCGTATTACAAATTTGTGCTCCTTAAATATTATCTAGTATTAAAAATAGGAATAAATTGTCAATTGAATACAAAATTATATAAGAATGTTACCTTAAGGATATTAACTGTCTTTGAACATACCAAAAAAAATATATTGCAATTTATTTTTCATAATCATACTTTTAGCATTCCATGTTCTATACATTTTCAAATAAGAAATTTGTAAGTGAAGTTGTTATGATGATGTTAGCTGCAATCCTACAAAAATGGGTTGTGTGAAGTTAAACTATCATAACATAAACTTGATGAAGCTTGACTAAATAATTCTTTAACACAAACATTGAAAAAAAGATTTTCTAGCTGAAAATTTTGAAATAAGACAACTCTGTTACAAGTATGCTAAACTATGAGATGTTTAGTTTATGTTGTTTTTTTTTTTTGGAAAAGGGGGGGGGGGGGGGGAGGGAGAATAGTAAGTTAATTTGCCTCTATCAATTTATAGTGATGTGATGTATGAATGTGTATTGACATGTTTTATGAACATGTCGTATGAATTACATTTTCTAATGCAAATTTTATAGAATAAATAATCAAAACAACAACTTATGCATCTTTATTAACAACATATACAGTAAAAAGAATGTGAACTCGTGATATACACAGAAACGTAGACAAAAGAAATGAGCAGTGCCTTTTTCTTTCATAAAAAAGTGCCCTGCCCTCCACTGGCACCCTGCCCCTTTTGATTTCTAGCTGGAGCACTGGTCTCTTCAGTGATGTTAGGGATCGAAACGGTATTTGGAAGGCCATATAATTTACCTCAATTCAGGAAAGACTCTTGAATTTTAAAGAGTCGAAATAGGATGAACGGATCATATAAACCAGAAGGTAAACTTCAAAATATATATATATATACCCGTTTTGTTAAAATATAACTTTTCACTGTTTTGGTCTTTTGGAAAATGTTGTTTGTGCTGTATTTAGACCCCTTTACCAAGAAATTTGTTGTGCATGCACATGTTTAAAAATTGCGGTTTTTATCCAACGCAATCATAGGTTTGAACGTTGTTTTCAATTTAGTAGATATAAAAAGATGTGGTATGAGTGCCAATGAGACAACTCTCCATCCAAGTCACAATTTATAAAAGTAAACTATTATAGGTCAAAGTACGGTCTTCAACACGGAGCCTTGGCTCACACCGAACAGCAAGCTATAAAGGACCCCAAAAATGACTAGTGTAAAACCATTCAATCGGGAAAACCAACGGTGTAATCTATATAAGAAACGAGAAACACCTATGAACCACATCAACAAACGACAACTACTGAACATCAGATTCCTGACTTAGGACAGGTGCAAACAGTTGCAGCGGGTTTAAACGTTTTAATGATACCAAACATTCACCCTTATCTGAAACAATAGTGTAACATTGTATTTATAATACCCCGTTCTAGATAGTCAAATCTGACCCCTTCCAATGCAAGGCGAAAAAAACATTTCAAACAATTTAGCTGAAAATGCAACCCAGTTTGTCAGAACATACCCGGTATCATATATATAGCGAGTATCCCCCTGGTCAATGCTGGTAGATGTAGAATGGCCATTGGGGAAGTGTCACACAAAACAACCATTTCATGTATAGATTTACTTACCGCTTTGGTTGTTTAAAAAAGGTGTCCAAGTCACACCATCGGATGGGGGAATCAGTATAAAAAGAAATCAGAGTACAGTACTACCTGTGACATTATCTTACTAATGGTGGCCATAAAAAATATGGTCACCATGATGGCCCTAAATGTCCATCATTGTACCTCCTGTTGCTTAATTAATACACAAGGTATTAATCAAAAACTAGTCAAGGATAAAGGGAAATCATGACTGCATTTAAGTGTTAAAATTATATAACTTACAGGTAAAGTGTCTCAGGTGAAATATATGTGTTTGTCAAATTTAATAACTGTGATAATCAGATAATGACAAGAAATTTCTAAAATAAAATGACATAATAAAACTAGTTGAACATATAGCTTCCTAACTTTTATTTGTAAAATTTTTCTCATGACTGTTTGTTTTGATATTATAACATGTATACCTTTTAAATAATTCTCTTAATTTAAGTTATTTGTTACATGTATTTTTTGGCAAGTGAATAACAAATGAATATCATCTTCTAATATAATGCAAACTTTCACATCGCCTGCCTTTTTCTATTGAAAAGGTGTTCTCAAATTAATTTTCTAAAATCAAAATTGTTTATACTTGTAAACTGCTTTCAACATTGTTTAACAAATGTTTAAGATTATCTTTAGAACTTATTCGAAATAAAATTTAGGCAATTCATTATATCTCTATTGAATAAATACATGTTTATCAATACAGAAAAATTTGACAATATTTTTATTGTCATATAAACATTTTACAATTTAATCAAGTTTCTGACAAAAAAAACAAAAAAAAACATTATAATGCAAAGAAATAACAATTCTATAAGAAATCAAAACACATGGAAAAAAATTATTAGGTGTCTGCCCTCAGTTCTAATGACTTTTTTTATAAAGGAGCCAATATTTTAAACATGTTCCATGTTATAGAGGTTTAGCATTTCTTTTACTTTTTGTTCTTGGTTAAAATTTTATTCTTAGATTCAAGATTTTATTCATAAACTGGTCAGAGACATTATTATGAGAAGGTAAGCAATTTTCAAATTGATTATCTCTAAGTTGTTATGTTTATTTTACAAACAATTATATCCTTTATAGGAATTTGTATCCACCATCTTCTATTTCTAAATTATGACCACTAATTCTGTTCTTAGTGAAGCATTTGAGTTTACTGTTTTCATCATAAGTTTTTATTTCATTTTCAAAAATGTTTTTATTTTTTTTCTTAAATTTCATTTTTAATCAAGGGCTTTAAAGAATCTAATTCATTCAAGTCCCTGCAATTATTAACTTTATCTAAAAGGCCTGAGTGGAGTGAAATATTTTTTGCAATTTGTATACCAAGAATAAGTATCATGCATATGCCAGTCCTGCACTTTCCGACAATATAATACACAGAACAAAACATGATTTAATTAATGGACCATAAAAATGTCACAATCTATATGGAAGTGTACTTTATTTTTTTCTGGAGACAAATTTTGCCTGTTAACTGACAAAATTAGCCAAACTGAAGATAACATACTTTATAAGTTTACAATTGTTTCAACAGAGACATATTATATATGTGTATATATGTCTCTGGTTTCAAAAAGCAAGACAATTTTTTCTTTAAATGCAATTTCTTTTCATAAGATTTACTTTATTCAGAGATAAGAACATTTTTCATTATGATTAGCATTTATCAAAATTTTATAATAACTAGGTAGCCATTTGGGAAATTTAAGTCTCTTTAGTGGTTCTTCATGCACAACTCCAGTTTTGAGATTTGAAAAATATAAAAGATAAACAAAAATAGTTTATTCCTATACCATATAATGATGTTTGTAGTTTTCCTGAATAATAATCATGATATTAGATTATACAAGTCAACTTTATTAACAAAATTTATTGTAAATGGATTGATATTCTTGATATTGATAATTTTAATTTGTTAAGAAACAGGCTTGTTAAATTACTTGCTTGATGGTTCCTTTACACATATCATGTTCATGATTATAAGTTATAATTAATAATAATTCATATTATAATGCAAACAAACAATAGAATTCCATGCACATCATGTACAATAACTTTTTTTTACTGAAAAAAATAATTATTTAAAGGATTCTCTGTTTTGTTTTCAAATGCTAGTCAATAACTTATCTTTGAATTTTTGTCATTTTTACTCAAGATTCTTTCCCAAAAAAATTAAAAGAATAACATGAATAAGAAGCAAAAAAAAAAAATAACATAAAAAAATAAAAACATTAGAAAAAAACGAAAAAATGTAAATTTAGACAGTAAAAATCAACAAATGATATGAATTTAGTTCAATTAACAAAGACTAAAGCAACATTCTATTCTACATTTTCAAGAAAAGGTGAAATGTCAATTTGAGAAACGCGTACGCCCATTACGCCCTTACCTGGACCCGCCCCTGGAGGATGTCAATATGTTATCTGTAAATCTGATGTACAGAATGTAGATTTATCCTTTTGTTCCTAGATCAGTAGATGACTTAGGAAGGCGTCACAACGAAATTAAAATTGCCTTTTCAAGATGCATAATTATTTGGACTACTATGCGACACAATAATGTAGCCTAGCCGTGTCTAGTATATGCTCCGCGTCGGTCTCGACACAGAGAGAAGCTCTATTGATAGTCGACTTTATTATTTACAGAATTTTATTGATAGAATTTCCGATTCCTGTGGTCTCGAGTAGTGAACCATGAACATGATGAACAATGATCAGTTTCTGTTTATTTAACCCACTAAATTACCATGACAAGCATTTAGAAAAAAACCAACATTGTTTAAAATGGTGACTGTAATGAAAACTTACTTTTCAAAAGCTTTCTGCATGCTAGTCACGTCAAAACGGTCAAATGCACTGTTTCTTTTCATTTTTTTTTCGCGTGTAACTAATGAGACAAGGGAAATAACTCAAATTAAAAACTAACAAAAAACCAAATCCGGTGTAAATCAGATTTTTCCGGAAATATCAGGAAAATATATCTGGCCTATCTATCTTTCAATCAGTTTAATTGAGCTCTGGAGCTGGCATGTCAGTAACTGCTAGTAGTCCTTTGTTAATTTATGTTCATCATTGTCATTTTGCTTAGTTTCTTCTGTTACATTTTCTAACATCGGACTCGGACTGTGCGTATTGCTCGAGGTATTGCTACAGGTGTGTTTGTTTATTCAACATTGACTAGAGGTATAGGTGGAGGGTTGAAATATCACAAAAAATGTTTAACCCCGCCGCATTTTTTTATGCCTGTCCCAAGTCAGGAACCTCTGGCCTTTATTAGCCTTGTATGTTTTTTTTTTAAAATTTGGTTCATTTATATGTTTCGCAGTTTAGTGTGATGACCATTTTTGCTGAACTAGTATACATTATTGTCTAGGGGCCATCAAAAACAATTACTACAACAATCAGTGAGACCAAAGACATCGTAATCATATCTAATCAGCATTCTAAATTACAAAACTTTGAATTTTCGGAATACTAAGGCTTTTCCACCTCAGAAATATATTACCTTAGCTGTATTTGGCAAAACTATTAGGAATTTTGGGTCCTCAATGCTCTTCAACTTCGTACTTTATTTGGCCTTATTAACTTTTTTGATTCGAGCGTCACTGATGAGTCTTTTAGTGTAAACAATATTTTATTTTGAAAATAATAACGTTTACATTACAAAATGACAATTTTTATGGGGATTAGAAAACAAGTGAATTTTCACTTTTACAAATTCCTCTCCCATATAATATAATAATAGATGGATGGCGTCAAAAATATTTTTTTAAATGAAATAAGAAGCATTTGTTGACCAAATTCACAACTGAACTACAGTGCTATCAAACTACACAGGTATAACTATAAATATAAATTAACGACATATAATTATATATCTCAATACATGTATATGAAATTCACACGAATCTCTTTGTTTTAAGAATAAAATCTTGAATAATGACAAAGTTATCAGAATTCTCAATGTCGGACATCAAAGGATTATACCATACAGTAAGTTATGTATATTAGGCTGACATGACAAGTTACTCAGCATAAACTCTCTAAGTAATTGGTATTGCGGACAACGCAATAAAAAGTGTTCAGATGTTTCAAGCTGTCTACATTTGCAAAAAGGATCAGTAACTAATTTTTTTCTATACAAATGATCATTCAGACCACTGCTGTCAGTTCTAATTCTGGTGTGCAAAATTTGTCCTAGTCTACTACCACTATAAAAATATTTTGGGACAACCCAAGTTTTCTTCAAATACTTCTTAAATATATATAAAGAAGAATTTCTGATATTAATTGGAATCTCGTTCCAAAGACGGACAGTAGAAGGAAGAAAACTGTTATGATAATAATTCGTTCGTGCAGGCATGTGAGGCACATTTCCTGCGTTGCGTGTCCCATACGGATGTGATTGGCCAAAGTTGGTAGGGACTAGATTTGAAAGATAGGCTGGAGAGTTATTGTTAGCCATCTGATGAAACAAAATAAGCTTGTGATTTTTTCGCCTTTCCCTGAGAGTTTCCCACCGGTCTCTTTTAGAAGAATTTGTAGACTTGTTAACTTAGTAGCCCCAGTAACTATACGTGCTGCCTCATAATTAATTTGTTCCAGTCGATCTTTCAAATATTCTGGACAATTATCCCAGAAAACATCGGCATACTCTAAAATAGGTCGAACATATGAAAAATACATGACTTCAAGCGTTTTCCTGTCCGCCTTGAACTTAAGCCTTCTTAACATATTCAGACGGACAGATGCTTTTGCTATGATGCCATCAATTTGTATTTTCCAGCTGCCGTCACTCGAAAAATGTAAACCAAAGTGTTTGTGTGACTCGACAGTTTTTATTACATTACTATTCATAAATAATGACGGATGATGATCAGGGTCTTTTTTTCTAGATATTATCATTGATTCAGTTTTCTTCGGGTTAAACTTCACTAACCATTCATCTGCCCATTTTTGAATTCGATACATATCATAATTTAGAGTAATAGAAGTAACCAGAGGATTTTCGACAACTGCATATATGCTTGTGTCGTCAGAAAATAGCTTAATATAACAATTAACCTCATTTACAATATCATTAATAAAAACTAAAAATAACAATGGACCCAAAATTGATCCTTGAGGAACACCAGAGTTAATGTCTGCCAAGGAGGACACTTTCCCATTTATAACCACCCTTTGTTTACGGTCAGCCAAATAATTTTTGAGCCAAAGAAGAAGATTCCCAGTTATGCCCATCTTTTTTAGTTTAAATAATAAACCTCTATGCCATACGCGGTCAAAGGCTTTACTTATATCAAAGAAGACAATTCTGATATCTTTCCCCTCATCTAAGGCCTTACTAAAAACACGAGTCAAGTATAATAGCTGGTTACGAGTTGAATCTTTTAACATAAACCCCGACTGGTGTTCCGACAAGAGATTCCTTATAAAGTTCATAATATGTTTATATATACATCTTTCAAAAGTTTTACTTATAACACTCAACAATGAGATGGGTCGATAATTACCAATATAATTTCTTTCGTCCTTCTTAAAAACAGGAATAACATTAGCTAACTTCCATGCTATTGGATAATACATTTTAGTCAAACTTAGATTGAATATATAGCACAAAGGTTTTGCTAAAATATCTGAGGCAATTTTCAAAAGTCTTGGGCTAATTCCATCAGGACCAGATGTTTTATTAACATTGGTTATTTGAAGAATGTCTTTCACCTCATGCTCCTGAAGAATTATATTGTCAAGACACGTGACAGGGGGATTATCGTCAGAAGGAACAGACATGTTTTATCAGAAATGTTTGACTGCGACGCAAAAAAAGCATTAAAAGCTTCAGCTTTATCAATGTCGTTATATAAAAAATCATTGTTGTCGAGAAGTGGGGGGATATCAGATTCTCTGGACTTAAATCCAGCTAGATGTGATGCTGTTATCCACCAACTTCTTATACTCAATGAGTCAGACCGTAATTTCGCAACGAGACCGTCGATGTAGTCTTGTTTTTGTTTTCGGACTAGATTTACGGTCTTGTTTCGAAACTTTCGAAATTTTGACCAGTGCTCTGGAAGATTAGACTTCCTCGCTCTTTTGTTCATCCTATTTCGCTTTCTGATTGCGCGACGAATAGAATTGTTAATCCACGGCGGATTTGTCTTCCTAACTGTTATGATTTTATTAGGAATCGATTCCGCTGCGGTTTTCAATAGAATTTGTGTAAAAGTCTCTACAAGAAGCTCGACATCGTTATTTCCATCTTTTATGAAATTTTCCCAATCGACTGCGGACAATTTTTCTCGGAATAAATTAAGATCCCCTCTATCGTACAGCCAAATTCGACGCTTAAAGCACGTTTGAGAAGGTTTCTCAATTTTTATTATTCCGAATGTCGGACAATGATATCTAATGTTTGCATTTAGGAACGGATGACCAACATGTACAAGATCGATTACATTCCTTTTATTAGCAATCACTAGAGTAGTATGAAAATGACAATTCTACACCACCCACACTTTTCAAGGGAAAATCCTGCATAGGACCCCCAACCCCGACGGCCAAATGCAAACGGACGGCACCCCCATTGAGCATAGGGTAAATATAAGAATGGCATATGTATTCGATGGTAGAAAAGTCGATCCAGAGGATAGTGGGGATCATGATACCTTAAAGGGAAGGATGTCACAGATTAAAATAAATAAAGATATGACATCTGAAAGAAATATGATGGATTTCTTTCTGGAGAATGAAGAAGATTTGGAAGATAACACCCCATCCCCCCAAAGGCAGCAGCAGTGCTGCAATGCTCCAAACATAGTGCATATGGATGAGCATACCGATCAGTGTCAAAATTGCGGTTCACAATCCACCAAGCCACGATTTGAGCATCATCAACCAGGGGAGCAGAAGACCACCTGCGGCTTCCCACTCAAGAGGAAGAAGGGTCAGTTGTGCAAGAGCAAGCCTGGGAAGGATGGCCTCTGCTGGAGACATAGTAAGCAACCACGCCAGCAGGAGGAGGAGGAGACCATCCCAGTCGAGGGTAAGATGGTGGTAAAAGAGACCATGAAGACCCTCCGTCAAATAGCTAAGGATGAGGGTCTGAGGGGGGTCAGTAGGAAGAACAAGGAGGCCTTGGTGAAGCTCATCGAGGAGAAAACCACCCATAAATTTGCCCGCCAGGAAGTCTTCAGCAAGAAGCAGCTCAAAGCGCTAGCAAAGAATCGTGGCCTCACCAAGTACTCTCAGCTCAAGAGAGACGATCTGATCCAGCTGGTGGAAGAGGACATCAAAAACGCTCCAGTCGAGGATGAGATCAAGGTCATCGATAGGCGGGAAGCTCTGAATGGCGTATTTGGCACGGTCGTCATCGAACCCGCGAAGCCGCACGATATGACCACTTTTCTGAAGGTAAGTCGGAGCACCATCACCAGCGCCATCTCGAATGCACTCGTTCAAAAGAAGGGATTGAAGGTGCACTTAGTGCTTCTAGCAGAGCTGGTGAAGACCAACCTTGCGACCGGAGAAAATACCTACATCACCCCTACCTTCAGATCACGCACGACAATGATCACGGAATCTGACGACCTCGAATTGGAGATTGCCTTCATGATGGAGAAGGTCAAGGAAAATATGGCAAAGTACATGCGGGAAGGGAGCGGGTGGACTTTCAGCAGCGTCGAGAAGCTAGAAATCCACCTCAACCAATTCAGACCACTCAAGGGGGGCTCCTTCATATCAACCCCATCAGCTCTCGCGAAAAAGAAGGCGATCGTCAATGTGAAAAATGAGGATGATCGCTGTTTTCAGTGGGCGGTGCTGGCGGCCCTTCATCAGGATGAGGTAGATAGCAATCATGCCTACCGCGTAGCTCAGTACAAGAAATGGGAAGAAGAG